CCCATTGCCGCCGCCTTGCCCTATCAGGTGTGCGTCGGCAACCACGAGCACACCTACAACTTTTCCCACTTCGATGCTCGTTTTTCGATGCACTCCCAGGGAGAAGAAGGAAAGAAAAAGAGCAACTTTTTTTGGTCGTGGAACATTGGTCCGGCGCATGTCATCGCCTTCAGCACTGAGTTTCACTTTTTCCAACAGTTTGGCACTCAGCAGATTGATAATCAGTACCGCTGGCTTGAGCGGGATTTGAAGAGAGCTAGTCAACCGGAGATGAAAGCTAGGCATCCCTGGCTGATCACCATTGGGTGAGTGCTAAACTAATGTGCAAGTGTTTATGTTTACGGATCTTATTTCTTTTCAAGTCATCGACCAATGTACGGCGAACTTCCCGATGTCAATCAGCAGGATCAAATTGTAAGAGAATTAAACGATATGTTGGCAATAACCACTAAACTATACTTCTGTTTTAGATCCGCAAAGGCAACAGCAAGTTTCCCGGTTTTGAGGATCTCTTCTACAAGTACGGCGTTGACATTCAGCTGTACGGGCACATTCACAACTACGAGCGAATATGGCCCATCTACAACAACACCGTCTACAATGGCAGTCTCTCGGAACCGTACCGCAATCCAAAGGCGCCGGTGCACATTACCACTGGCTCTGCCGGCTGCCCAGAGCACCTGACGCCCAAGCTAAAGAAGCGACCGCCGTACAGTGCTTTGGTCATTTCAGACTATGGTTTCATGCGAATGAAGATTCTCAACAGCACGCACGTGCACTTTCAACAGACAGCTGAAACCAAGGTAAGTGGAAACAAGAGTTTTAGTTTGACTGTTTTACTCATTTCAAACAAACACGCTCATTTGATAGAACTGGGAAGTCGCTGACGAGTTTTACGTCGTCAAGGAGAAACATGGTCCAGAGGCGTGGGTATAAAAAAATTACGTTGTTTTGTTATAAAAGTTTACATACAATTTGTTAATTAAAAGCTGACATAGTGCACTAAAGTAAGAGTTAAATTAGTTGGTGCATCAATATTATTGAGTGGGTTTTTTTCTACAAAGTGCTTCTCTTTGGCAAAAGTAATCTGCGAGTTCCTTTGTCTAAGTGTCTGTGACTGTGTGTGTGTGTGTATGTGTTACACCACTAGTTATTTTAGTCTTGCGGGTACATTGGCTAGTCTGTNACGAGTTTTACGTCGTCAAGGAGAAACATGGTCCAGAGGCGTGGGTATAAAAAAATTACGTTGTTTTGTTATAAAAGTTTACATACAATTTGTTAATTAAAAGCTGACATAGTGCACTAAAGTAAGAGTTAAATTAGTTGGTGCATCAATATTATTGAGTGGGTTTTTTTCTACAAAGTGCTTCTCTTTGGCAAAAGTAATCTGCGAGTTCCTTTGTCTAAGTGTCTGTGACTGTGTGTGTGTGTGTATGTGTTACACCACTAGTTATTTTAGTCTTGCGGGTACATTGGCTAGTCTGTGTGTATCACATTGTGAGATAGAGATAGAGTTAGAGAATGGATGAGAAAAAGGATGAGACTGATGAAGTCTGGTCTGAATGCTTTCGCTTTGAAAGATCGTTTTGACTATATGAAAGCAGTGAGACTTCATTCTGTTGAAATGAAAGATGACTGAACTCTCAAACTCTAATGCTCTAAGGCTCATCGGCGTATTTTCCAGTGCCCTTGCCGAGGTTGTTCTTCAACGTCAGAGCGGCGTGGCCGGTGTTTAGATTGACCACTCGGAGGTACTTTCTGCGGACGGCGGTCCACTTGTAGAAGGAGACGCAGCTGCAGACGCAGACGCCGAGGATGAGGAGGATGAAGATGAAAACAAAGGCGACAGGCATGATGACCAACAGACGACAGGTGAAGGAGCCGTGCTCGTACTCCCGACAATGCTCGCGCATCTTGGGCACCGCCAAGCCGGCCATGTGCTTCACCTGCACCAGATTCTCCGGCTCGCACTCGTCGTCCACCTTGTGAATGATAAAGTCGTGGATGGCCCAGAAACCACAGCACAACATGAAATCGTCTAGTTCTGAGGGGAAAAGAGAAAAGGGGGGTTAGTTTATTTGAATTAAATGATCAAATCACTTGATGTTTGAAGCTCAAAAATTACCTGGCAACGTCTCCTCGGCAATGTTGAGCATGCATTTCAGCGTGGAGGAGTACTCGTCGAGTTTCTGCGCAAACTTTCCATCCTTCTGATTCTTTGCCTCTGTTAACGAGGAGGCAAAACCGAGGATGGCGACGATCAGGGCAGCGCACCAGTAGCTGTTTATCGTTTTAAAGTTCATTTTGGCGCTCTGTGTGTTGATGAGCGTAGATGAGGTCTGCAGCACGATGTAGTTTCAGCAAAAAACAAACAACCTGTTGTTTCGTCTGTTCCACCACCAGCAGCAGGCAAACCCAAAATCAGTGGACTCAAGGGATTGCGATGTTGTGCGCTTTTCCAGCAGCAGTCACCAGTTCTCCTCGACGCGGCTACGTACAATCTTCTTTTTTCCACTGGTACTCTAGGGCACTATCTCTTTCTCCCCTTCTCTTTCTCTCTCACTTTCTCACTCTCCAGACAGACACAGTCTTTGTCGTAGATATACGATACGCCGAGTGTTGAGAGATGTGATTGTGGCTTCTGGCGCTGGAAGGTAGCTGTTGTGTTGTGCAGTGGCTGTGCACACACACACAAACACGGTCTGGTGCAACTACTGATGCTGCTGCTTA